AGGTTGGTGCAGCTTAGGATGTCGCTGCTGCTGCTGATGCTGCTGCTGATGACGCTGATGACGAGGATGTCGCTGATGTTAATGATGGTGATGGTGATGGTGATGGTGCTGATGCTGATGATGATGACGCTGATGATGCTGAATCTGACGCTGCTGATGCTGCTGATGATGCTGCTGCTGATGATGGTAACGATGCTGATGCTGACGATAGTGCTACTGCTGCTGATGATGATGATGGTGCTGACGATGCTGATGGTCCTGATGCTGATGCTGATGTTGCTGTTGTTGATGGTGCTGATACTTGTGCTGCTGATGCTGATGTTGATGCTGATGCGGATGCTGGTGCTGATGCTGCTGCTGCTGATGAGGAGGAGGAGGAGGAGGAGGAGGAGGAGGAGGAGGAGAGCAGGAGGAAACGACGACGACGTCGACGAGGAGGAGGGCGAGCAGAAACGCCAGATGCCCCTTGCATGATTTTTCGCTTCTCCGAGTTTCTTCGGATGTCGCTTGAGAGCTGTTCGGAGTCCTCTTGTGGCGTCGTGGGGCTTATTGGCGGTCCCAGGGCCCCCTTGGAGCGTCTTGGGTGCCTCGGGAGAGCCTCTTGGGGCCTCTGGGGGGGGGCTCTTGTGGGCATTGTCGGGGCCCTGTTGTTGGGCTTGGAGGCCATCTTGGGACCATCTTGGAAGAGTTCGGTCAAAGAAGGGGGGTGTCCCAACTTGCCAAATTGGGCCCCTCCTTGAGAGCCCTCAAACTGGCCTCTTCGACCCCTCTTGGAGCGCTCAAGGAGCGCTCTTGGGCGCTCCCGTCTTGGGACCCTCTTGGGCTTCTCGTGGGGCTCTCTCATCTTGAGACCTTGGAGGGCCGTTGACAGCGAAAAGGCGAGAACGCAATTCACATTGTTGTTCTGTGGGTGCTTGGCGGATTTTGGCTTCTTGGAGGTTTCCTTGGGAGGCTCCGTGACTATCTGGAGCCGTTTCAGGGCGGTCTTGGGGCCTCTTGGAGCCTGTAGTGAGCCATCATGAGCTATCTTGAGCTATCTTGAGCCATCTTGAATTATCTTGACCGAAGTCATCTTCGGTTCTGTGAGGCCCTCTCGGGGCCATGTTTGGCCAAAACAGACACTCTGACATCTCGCGGCCCCTCTCCTGCAGATTCAGGTGCAGGGGGTAGGGGGAGGGGTCAAGACACCCTCCTATATAGCAAGATGTCTGGCTCACTCTTACAGCAAATAAGTAACACCCCAGCCTCAGCATGTTCAGCGGCCGTTTATGGATGGACAGCTACTGGGAGCCAAAACCGACCCCATGTGCGCGACGCTGGGGCGAGGTGCGCCCCGCGTGCCAGGCGCGCCACGCGCGCCAGGCACTCCTGGGGCCCGAGCGTGCCAGGCACGCCTGGTGCGCCAGATGCGCTACGTGCTCCACGTGCGCCAGATGTGCCGCATGCTCTGGCCTCGCCAGGTGCACCACGTGGAGGGCGCGAAAAATGCGAGGGTGTGGCAAAACGGGTGGGCGGGACGAATGCGTACTGCGCCACTGGCGCCTTCGGTGGAGCTCCCCATGGGGCCACGAAACGTGTGAGGGTGTGCCGAAATGGGTGGCCGGGACGCATGCGAACTGCGCCACTGGCGCCTTCGGTGGAATTCTCAATGGGGCCACGAAACATGAGTGGTGTGTGTGCCGACAGGTGGTCGGGACGTATGCGAACTGCGTCGCTGGGACCTTAAGTGGAGCTCCCCATGGGGCCACGAAACGTGTGAGGGTGTGCCGCAGTGGGTGTCTGGGACGCGTGCGAACTGCGCCATTGGGACCTTCGGTGGAGCTCCCCATGGGGCCACGAAACGTGTGAGGCTGCGCCGAGATGGGTGGCTGGGACGCATGCGATTTGCGCCGCTGGGACCTCAGGTGGAGCTCCCCATGGGGCCACGAAACGTGTGAGGGGTGTGCCGAAATGAGTGTCGATGACAATGATGGTGATGATGAAGAAGATGCTGATGATGCTGCTGCTGCTGTTGATGATGATGATGATGATGATGATGATGATGATGATGATGATGATGATGATGATGATGATCGTAGTGATGATGATGCTGATGCTGATGCTGATGCTGATGCTACTGATGATGATGATACTGATGCTAATGCTGATGCTGACGCTGCTGCTGCTGCTGCTGAGGATCATGATGATGACTAAGATGCTGATGCTGATGATGATGATGATCATGCTGTTGATGATTATGATGGTGATGATGATGGAGATGATGAGGATGCTGATGTACTGATACTGTTGATCTTGTGGATGATGATGATGAGGAGGATGATGATGATGATGATGTTGTTGATGGTGATGGTGGTGGGGATGACGATGATGATGATGATGCTAATGATGCTGATGCTGATGCTGCTGATGATGCTGCTATGACGATGCTGATGCTGATGATGATGACGATGATGATGACGATGATGCTGGTGATGGTGATGATGATGATGATGATGCTGATTCTGATGCTGATGCTACCGTTGATGCTGCTCCTGTTGATGATGCTGCTGCTGATGATCATGACGATGACTAGGATGCTGATGCTGATGATGACGACAATGAAGATGATGATGGTGATGTTGATGGTGATGATGCTGATGACATTGATGATGGTGTTGTTGGGAATGATGATGCTGCTGATGATGATAATGATGATGATGATGATGGTGGCGGTGGTGGTGGTGGTGATGGTGGTGATGGTGATGGTGGTGGGGATGATGATGATGCTGATGCTGATGCTGATGATGATGATGATGATGCTTGTAATGATGACGATGATGATGATGATGATGATGATGATGCTGATGCTGATGCTGATGCTGATGTTGCTGATGATGATGATGACGATGATAATGATGCTGCTGCGGCTGATTATGATGCTGATGATGCTGATGATGATGATGCTGATGATGATGATAATGTTGATGAAGCTGAATATGCTGATGCTGCTGTTGATGATGATGATGATGATGATGATGATGATGATGATGATGATGATGATGACGATGAGGACATGCGGAGGGCAGAGGCAAGTGATGGGAGGAGGGAGGAGGCGGGAGGGAGGAGGCGTGAGGAGAACGCGGGGCTCTACTGTCCTTTCAAAACGAGGACCATACAAAGTGCTCGCGGGGCCCACAAGCATGACCCAAGACTTTGCCCCAAACTACACTGCGAAGGCCTTACTGCTGGTGCCGCCGACCCTGAAGGCGGAACCTCCCCCAGGACCCCGCTGGCAACCCCCCCGGGACCCGCTAGGACTCCCGGGAGGGGGGGGTGCCGCATTCTGACCCGGGGCCACCCCTCCACCCTTCCTCCCACCAGCGAAGGGAAAAAGGGAAGGGAATCAACTTAACCACGACGTTCCTTTCCCTTGTTCCTCAATGTCCTGGGGACTAAGGGCGACGACGACGACGACGACGACGGCGGCGGCGGCGTCGGCGGCGATGATTCAAGTGGAAAAGCGTCTCACACACGCCGAAGGGGCGGCGGTTTGTGTATTGTTTTTTGACAGGGAGGTGGGGGGTTGTCATAGGTTTTGGTGGGCAACCGGTCGCCTGGAGGAGGGGATGTTTTTCAACAGGGGATAAAGATAAGCTCCTCCCCGAAGGGGAAAAAAGGGTTTGGACGAGGAAGCGCTCTAAACCACTGACGCCCTAAAGGGCTGGTGGAATTTCTTCTGCTATATGTTTTCGTGCGTTTTTGGCATTCTCCACTCCTCAGCTCAAGAAGGCTCGAAGAATGGCTGGTCTCCAAGTGGGCCGCAGGACGGCTCCAAGACGGCCCAACACCGCCCCACTACTAATATTGCCCACAGCCCATACTAATTTGAAAGGGCTGCGCCAGGCTCAAGGGACCTAATATTGCCCCGTGAGGCCTTAAGAGTGCCCTGGGGAGCCACAGGTGACCCAAGAAGGCTACGACATTCCCCGTAGAGGGCCCCACGAATATCTGGCCCCAACATCTCGTACCTTTTTAGAAGGAAAGCGCTTTGCGTGCGATCCGTTATTTGAGCGAAGCGGTTGGCTAATTATAGGGAGTCTGAGGGGTCTCGCTGGTTCAGTCCCACGGGCTGCAACACGCCCCGCAGCCTGGTTCGGCAAATTTTGCGGGGCTTTCTGTCCAAGACACCCTGGAGGGCATGAATAGGCCACCAAGGTAGACTCAGAGGGCTCCAGGGGGCGTTCAAGACGGTCGATCAGCTCCCTGAGACGGCCCAAGAAACCTTCAGATGACGACACAGCTTCCCCAGCAGGCTCTTCTGTGCAGGACCCTTGGGGGGCGAACGTTGTGGTAAGGCATTGGTGGTTTTGCGTATCTTTTGGGCCCTCTCCATTTTTGTGTAGCTCGGGATGGCCCAGAAAAGTCTCCCAGGAGCCTCAACACGAGGTTCAGCCCACGGGAGCCCTCGAGAGGGCCCAGGCCACAGCCACTGTGGTTCAGCATGGTCTCCAAGAGTATTCCAAGGCATCTCGAGGGCGGCTGAAGACCGCTCGAAGGTAGCTCGAATCCGCTCCCAACGCTGCCCCTGTGCCCATTCCAAAGGGCCGCGCGCGGCCCAGGGGAGCCCAAGTCTTGAGAGGGCCCTAGGGAGCCTAAGGCCCCCCAGGGAGGCCCCGAGATGCCTCCAAGAGGGTCCAATGAAAGGACACATTTCAGCGATGTTGCGCCCTCAAGTGGATGGCGGGAAGCGCGCGCAGCGTGCGACCTGCTAGCTGAGCGAAGCAATAAAAGGCATCCAGGAATGGAACATCGTAATACCGCCCAAGATCGCTCCCAGATGACCCCAAGACCCCGCCGAATGGCTCTCAGACCCCCCGGACCAAGATGCCCCTGTCTGCTCGCCTGGTTCGATCGTCTACCCGTACATGTGGCATCCTCATTATTTTGAAGCAGACGAGAAGTGTGATCGAAGGAAACGAGCGGTGTGCCAATACCGACTCATCTGGCGGGGATGGGCGCAGGAGCGAAAGGTCGCTGGACAGCGTGAGCTCCGCGAGCGAGACCGACTCGGATGAGTCCGCCCCCTTGATTCCTTTTCCATCCCTCTCTGCCTCCCTGGTCCGCTGACGTTGCGCCACTTCTACCTCTTGCTCCTGCTCCTACTGCTGCCTCCTGAAACCATCCAGGCAGACCGACAGCCCGCTCGGAATGAGGTTTGGAACTTCAGCGCCAGCACTCTGCCCGTTGCCGCACCTGCGCATCAGTTGTGTCCCCAATCTCGAGCAGCACCCTCGACCCTGATCACGGCATGTTCACGCTGGACTGACGCGGCGTCGACCCCAGCGCGGGCGTTCAAGATTGAACGCCGCCAGTGGCCCAGAATCGGTCGTCAGCGAGGGGTCCGGGCTGTTGGAAGGCGCGGCCACTCGAGATTCAACGACCGACGCGGTGTCCTTCGGCAGCACCTCATGGGAGCCTTGTGGGTCCTCGAGATTGAGTTGTTGGAGTGCATTCACTTGCGTGCGCTGGCGTCTGGTAATCAATGAGGAAGGGCGCAGATTTAGTGTCGATGAGCGTCGATTGAGCGTCGACTAGCGTCGATTAGCGTCAACTGGCGTCGATTCGCGTCGGAGAGCGTCGATTTCGCAGGAGCCAGGTAAGGTCGCATGGGAGGCTCCCGTGAGCTGCCACAGAAAGTTGGCGAGTCTATCTGGGCTTTCGGAAGGCCGCGGCCGCTCAAGGTTCAACCCGCCGACGCGGTGTCAGAAATACAGTCAACCCGCATAGTAAGGATGGGCAACCTTCCCAAGGGTACCCTGGCATCCTTGCCTCCTCGGTCCATCCTCGGCCACTCTCGTTGGCCGCGCCCCGCTCGAAGAGCTTCGAAGTGGGCGTCCAAGCCCTTGCATCCCTGTCGCGGATCCTTACTATACGGGTTGACCGTGACCGCGGAACGTCGTCGCGACGCGAGCCCTGCCGTGCAGCGGCTGGGCCCCGGCGGCTGCCGCCGCGCGCCGCCGCGTCCCGCGCGCCAGCGCCGCCGGCCGCCGGGCAGGCGGCGGCGCCTCGCCCCTCCTCCTCCTCCTCCTCCTCCTCCTCCTCCCCCTCTCCTCCTCCTCCTCCTCCTCCTCCTCCTCCTCCTCCTCCCCTCCTCCCCCTCCTCCTCCTCCTCCTCCTCCTCGTCCTCCTCCTCCTCCTCCTCCTCGTCCTCCTCCTCCTCCTCCTCCTCCTGCGCGCCCCGGCGAGCCGGTTCCTCGGTCCCTTGTCGGCGAGGGTTTGGGATGCTAGGGAAAGCACAGGCGTTCCAGGCCTCCTGGAGGGGAACGCAGCAGATGGTGATGGGCCTGTTTTCCACCACCCTACCATAAGTTGGAGGGGGAGGGGGTCCTCCTCCTCCTCCTCCTCATCATCATCATCATCATCATTCTCCGCCTCCTCCCCCCCCCTCCAACTTATGGTGGTGGTGGTGGAAAACAGGCCCATCAGATGGGGCCGGAGGATCGCGCCGCATAGCAGATGCATGCCCGATGCGGCTCGATGTGCAGCCCGATCTGCTTCACGTCGACGGCGCCGATTCATCGCCCACGTCGCCGATGCAGCGCCGGTGCATCGCCGATGCATCGCCAATGCATCGGCGATGCATCACCGAAGTATCCGCGATGCGGCGCGATCCTCCGACCCCATCCACTTGGACCCCATCTAGGAGGCCTCTAGGTGTATCACACTGGCGTGTTCGGGCTAGGCCTCCGTGGTCATTTGTGAGAGGTGCTGCTGTGACTTGTCACGCAGACGCCTGTCTTGCGCAGGTGATGATTTGTGCTGGGCACAGTCGGTCCACCAGTTACAGCAACCGGAGCCCTGTGCGCAAAGGCCGTCATCCGCAGCGCCCAAAGGTCATCAAGGAAGTCAGACCCAGGACCAAGTCAGGCTAGCTTGTCATGACACCGTCGTGCCGATTTCAAAACAAGCTCCCCCCTTCCCACTGCTGGGCTCCACGCGCGTGCTGCCCGCCACATCTGAGCTCCCGTCTCGGGTCCTGCCCATATGGCGGGAGAGGCGGAGGTGTTCCCCCCTCCATATCCCTTGCACTGGTTTCCGCGTGCGGAGCCCAGCGCGTCCGCCCGGGTAGGGCCGACCGCGACGTGCAATATTGCAGTCGTTTGTATTGCTTCGTCAAGCTGCTCTTCCTCTATTGGCTGTTTCGTGGTACTCCAGATTTCGTAATAAAGGGAGGGGGGTCTCATTTCGGGGGGGGGCTCTTCCAGGCTATCTTGGAGGGCCTGGTGGGTCTGGGGACGATGTTTTGGAGGGTTCTCCCACGGGGGAGGTCTGAAATGGCTTGTCTTGGAGGGTCCAGACCCCCTCCCTTTTATTACGAAATCTGGAGTATACTGTCCCATTGACCTTCGGGGGGGTGGCTGCGTACGCCTCCACCACCACCACCACCTTGCTCCCACCAGTCAGCGAAATGCTCATCGTCTGCAGCAGCGGGTTCATCACTGGTGGCGTTGTCGGCTAGTGGCGTGCTTATTCTCCAGTTGCCATAGACCCTGCGTTATTTAATCGCTTCGCTCATTCGGCCTGCCCGTATTGCCTCGCCGCCGTCGTTTGTCGGGGTGTGCCTCTTGAGGCTCTCTTGGGAGGCCTCTTGGTGGCCTCTTCGGGGGTCCTGTACGCGTCGCGGGCCGTCTGGAAGCCATCGTGGGTATCTCGGACTGATTGTTCGACGAGTTCCACTTGGAGCGCTGCCATTTGTCCGAGTGATAGTTGTCAATGCGGTGCTGTTGGGCGGGGTTGTGTTGATTATCGAAGACGCCTACGGCGAAACACCGCCGCCCCTGCCTTCTAGAATCGCCCATGTGGCCGAGCGTTGTGGCAAGAGCTCTGCCAAGCTATCGCACCATGTGTTCCCCCAGCCGTTGTGGAAATCCTTCGGAGAACACTTGGGGGAGGATGGCGGGGAAGATCAGGAGGAGGTGGTGGTGGAGGAGGAGGAGGAGGGAAAGGAGGAGGAGGAGGAGGAGGAGGAGGAGGAGGTGGAGGAAGGGAAGAAGGAGGAGGTGGAGGAGGAGATAGTGGAGCTTCTGAGCGCCAATGTGTTGGTTGAGAGGAAGACCGAGATGGCGAAGGCCATTTCAATGGTCAGGTAGGTTCAATGCTCCCGCTCGTGAGGATCCAGACCGCCTTTCATGAGTGGGAGTGCGAAGTGCTCATGCCGAGGCACGGCTTGCTGAAAGTGTTGACCGCCTGCTGCGAACAGCCTTACTGGTCGGTGAACGGAACACATGACCCATGACATTCTTAGAGCGCGTCCTGCATAATGTCATCCAGGGCGAGGACCTGGAGGGCCAACACGCGGCGGGGCGAACGCAGGAGATGACTACATCGAGTGTTGTTGAGCGATGCCGGCTACTGGCATGGGGGTGCTCATAACTGGTGTTGCTGGTGACGATCTGCCTCTAACATCTAATGGTGCCAGGACGTCGGCACAGTTTGCATCTACCTGCAGCCCGCCCCGCTGCTGCCAGCCAGGCTGTCGACCCCTCTCCCCATCCGTGTCCTCGTTTCTGTGTTGTGCTCCTGTCGTCGTCGTGCTCCTCTTCCTCTTCCCCCTGTGAAGCGTGCGAGGACCTCGGTCGTGCGGAGTTTCAAGGACTTTGGATTCGGAGATCGTCTCGCGGGGTCCGCTGTTCGCTTCTTCGGGTTTCACGGGTGAGATGCCCATTGTTTTGTAGGAGTTGGGTGTTTTGGCAATTCAGGGTGGACAGGTGGTCCGAAGTTCGCGGCTGCCGAGTCGGTCCTATCGTTCGCTTTTGTTCACGAAGCGGACTCGTTATAGTTGTCTGATTTTGTATGATCTTACTCTTCCTCCTCCTCCTCCTGCTCCTCCTCCTCCTTCTCCTCCTCCTCCTCCTCCTCCCATCTCTGCCACGGAGCGCGCTGCGGATGGTACAACAATTGCGCCCCCTCCTCTCCGATCTCGCCCCCCTGCTACCGCACACTCCCAGCCGCCCGCCCGCGTTGGCAGGATTTCGACAGCGATTGCGACGACGACGCCATGCTGGACGGCTCCCCCAGAAAGGCCACGGAGGGGAAGGAGAAAGAGGATGGATGAGCAAAATGAGGAGGAGAAAGAGGAGGAGGAGGAGGATGAGGAGGAGGAGGAGGGAGAGGGAGGAGGAGGAGGAGGACGAGGAGGAGGAGGACGAGGAGGAGGCGGAGGAGGAGGAGGAGGAGGAGGAGTAGCAGGAGGAGGAGTAGTAGTAGGAGGAGGAGGAAGAGGAGGCGGATGAGGAGGAGGAGGAGGAGTAGGAGGAGGAGAAGGAGGAGGAGGAGGATGAGGAGGAGCAGGAGGAGGATGCGGAGGTGGAGGCGGAGGCGGAGGCGGAGGAGGAGGAGGAGGAGGAGGAGGAGGAGGAGGAGACTATTTGGTGACTGTTGCTTAATCGCATAGCGATGTGGTCTAAATTTGGCCGCCGCAACCTTACTGTGGGTTGCTTTGCTCCTTTGGGCACGCTCGGCTCGATTGAGAACTTTGGAGCAGAGATTGGCATGTATTCTACGTATGCACTCCCACCCGTGGGGGTGGGATCAGCACAGGGGTCCCCCAATTTGCCGAGGGGTCGGCTTGCGATGCACCCGCAGTGCGAACAAAACCATGATTTAAGCCCAGCGTGGAACATGATCCGATGGAAAACGTGAACAAAGCCCCACGCCACAACATGAATCTGCTTCCCGAGGGGGGGCCTCATAAAAGCGTCATCAACATCCACAAGGTCATAGCAGTCAGTCTGAAGCCACTGGGTTCTCGAGCTCTTACTGGCCGAGATGTTGCACCTATTGCACCTATGTCCGTCGGAGTCTACACAGTACTCGAAGAAAAAAACAGGGCGCACGTAGCAGGGGCAGGCGGTCTGGCGGGAGCCGGAGTCCTACAACGGTTCCGGGTCCTCAGGCTTGATTTGCTCACGCTCGAGCTCGAGAGTCTCGAGTGCTGTTCTCAACAATCTCATTCGTACAAGATGAGCTTGTTGCTCGACAATGGTATACTGCTGTCGGATGTATTGTGGCAATCTGGCGGCATCTGCAGCGCCACCTGCGAGAGTGTCGGCGATGGGGTTCCCGTAGGCGAGGATGCCTGGGATCTTGCCATCGACAATGTTTGTGGTGGTCATGTGCGATCGAATACATGGGACTCTGATTTGGTCGTCTCGGCTGCGCATGGCTGCTCGGAGACTTGCCCACAAGTCTGTGTCCTCCCAATGTGGAGATTCAACATGTCCGTTGTAGAAATTGAGATTAACACCTTCACTGTCAGTAAAATGGACCATCTCTCCAATCGTGGATTCAACAGACAGTGTGAGACCATAACATTCTCCTCGAACAACAGTTTGCCTCGGACCTGGCATGGCACCCCATAGGGTGCCTTTGATTTCCATCCCATGACGGTCCAAGTCTGAGAAAATGGCGATTCCGATTCCAATCCTTCTGAGTGGGGTTTAGGCTGAGTCTCCTCCACTCGCGTCGCCAAGTGCATAACTGGGCTCACTGCCACTGGAACCAACACTTCCTTACGAACATTCGTCAACACCATACGTATCCCAACATTCATGACTGGGTGGTGGTGGTAGTAGTGCTGTCCAGCTCTTGGGGATAAGCCCACGGGTCCAACGACATCAATGTATGTGTTGCTGGGCTGTGGCTTTTGGTATGAAAGAGTCGGTAGCATCATATACATATATACATATGTATATATATACACATATTGAGCACGTCTTGCGTGCGCTGCATTCCCAGGTACGATGAAAGTCTGATCCAGGCGCCTGGTCGCACCTGTCGCATTTGCCGTCGATGTCGTGGTTCTTGACCTCGGCCTGGACCCTGGTCTTGGGCCACATGGCTTCGACGGCGATGGTGAACATGAGCGTAGGAGGAGGAGGAGGAGGAGAAGGAGGAGGAGGAGGAGGAGGAATAGCAGGAGGAGGAGGAGGAGTAGGAGAGAAGAACGAGGGGGAGGATGATGTGCTATGATCTGGTTTGCGTTTGGGGGCATAGTCTTCAGCACTCTGGCATTCCAGAACGCCACCTCCCATCTCCTCCTGGGCATCCTGCTCATACTACTCGTCGTCCTCTTCCTGCTGTTGCTGATCATGCGACGATGGTGTTGTTGCTTGTTGTCCTCCCTCCTCCTGCTACCGATCCTCGTCATTCTGCTGCTGCTCGTGCTG